TTTGGTAAAGTCTCAGGATACAAAATCATTGTGCAAAAATTAGTTGCATTTCTATATGTCAACAGTAAGCAGACTGAGATCCAAATAAAAAACACAATCCCATACAATAGCCACACAAAAAACAGAATACTTTGATATTAATCTAAGCAAAGAGGTAAAATATCTTTACAATAAGAACTGTAAAACACTGCTCAAAGAACTCAAAGATGATACAAACAAATGGAAGAATATCCCATGCTCATGTATTAAAAAAATCTATATCATCAAGATGTCTATATTACCCAAAGCAATTTACAGGTTCAACACAATGCCTATTGAACTACCAGAAATATTTTTCACACACCTAGAAAAGACAATACAGAAATTCATATGGAAACAAACAAAAGCCCAAATAGCAAAAGCCCAATCCTCAGCAAAAAGAACAAAGTTGGTGACATCACATTCCCAGACTTCAAACTTTACTACAAGGCTACAGTAACAAATACAACATGGTACTGGTACAAAAATAGACACATAGATCAATGGAACAGGGAGAGAATCCAGAAATAAAACTATAGACCTTCAATCAATTTATATTTGTTAAAGTTGACAAAAAACAAACATTAAAGAAAGGAAACCCTATTTAGCAAATGGTGCTGGGGAAACTGGTTAACCACATGCAAAAGAATGAAACCTGACCCCTACCTATCACCATATAAAAAAATTAATTCAAATCGGATAAAGTACTTAAATGTGAAACCTCAAACTATAAAAATCTTAGAAGAAAAACATACTCCTGGACATTGACCGAGGCAATGAATTTGCAGCCAAGTTCTCAAAAGCAAATGCAGCAAAAACTAAAATTGACAGGTAGTATCTTATCTAGCTAAAAATCTTCTGCACAGCAAAATAAACCATCAAGAGGGTAAAGAGACAACCCACAGAATGGGAAAAAAATTGCAAACTATGTATCTGACAAAGGCCTAACATCCAGCATCTATTAGAAACTCAAATTGACAGAAAAAAAAAATGCTCCAATTAAAAAGTGGGCAAAGGTTATAAACAGACATTTCTCATAGGAAGACATACAAGTAGCCTACTAACATATGAAAAAAAGCTCAGCCTCACTAATCATCAGATAAATGCAAATCAAAACTAAAATGAGATGCCATCTCACACTGGTCAGGATGGCTATTATTAAAAAGTCTAAAAAACAACAGATGTTGCTGAGGGTGTGGAGAAAAGGGAATACTCATACATGGCTGGAAATGTAAACTAGTTCAATCTTTGTGGAAAGCTATGTAGTGTTTTCTCAAATACCTAAAAACATTTGACCCAGCAAACCTGCTCTTGGGAATATATCCAAAGGTACAGAAATTGCTTGACTTAAAAGACACCTGCACTTGTATGTTTATTGCAGCATTATTCATAGTAACAAAAACAAGGAACCAACCCAGATGCCTATTGAAGGTAGACAGAATGAAGAAAATGTGGTACATCATACACTATGGAATACTATGTAGCCATAAAAGAGAACATAGTCATGTCCTTTGCAGCAACATGGATACAACTAGAGACCATCATCCTAAGTGAATTATCACAGAAACAAAAAACTGAATACCGTGTGTTCTCACTCATAAGTAGACACTAAACATTGGGCACATGAGCACAAAGGTAGGAACAATAGATGCTGAGCACTGCTAAAGGAGGGAGGGAGGGGGGATAAGGGATATAAAACCACTCTTTGGGTACCATGTCCACTGCTTTGGGAAGGAGGGGCTCATCAGAAGCCCAAACCTTGCCTTCCCACGATATACTTATGTAACAAATCCTCACATGTAGTCCATGATTTTATAATTTAAAAAAAAATTATAAATGAGCATACGGCACCTGGATGGAGAGGTGAACTAAAGAAACTAAAAACAAAGCAAAAACAAAACAAAAATAATGACAGTTGCTTTTTTGGTTATGTAGAGTCACAAAATGCCAAATTTTGCTCTTCATGGTTTTAACTAAGAATTTAGACACTTCAGTTTTCAAGTGTTCTAAAATGATGACCCATCACACTCAAACAACTATTTGTAAGTGTTTTTAAGCTCTTATAGGGCACAGGTATATTGCACTGTAATAAATACAGGACCCAGACACTGTTTTGACTTGAAGGATTTATTTTAGTGTTTAACAGGCTCTCTGGTGAGATATAAAACAGCATTTCTGTCTTTTCAGTCAAAACTTGAAGTTAACTTTGAGGCCTTCACTCTATAACCACATGTTTTTTCAAGTTCTGCATTTTCTGTTCCCTTAATCACTTTTCTTTTCTTTTTTTTTTGAGTTGGAGTCTCACTCTGTCGCCCAGACTGGAGTGCAGTGGCTGCTCCCGGCCACCGCAGACTCGACCTGCCTGCCGGGCTCCAGCGATCCTTCCACCTCTGCCTTCGGAGTAGCTGGAATTACAGGCGCGCACTACCATGCCTGGCTGATTTTTTGATTTATTGTAGAGGTGAGGTCTCGCTGCCCAGGCGAGTCTCGAACCCGCGGGCTCAGGCAATCCACTCACCTCAGCCTCCCAAAGGCGCGGGATTACAGGCTGAGCCACCGAGCCCGGCTCTTTAATCATTTTCAAAGCAAATGACATTTCTTCCTGGAAGCCTTCCGCGGATCTCATCCCTGACGTGTAGTTTCTTCTACTCTGGTGTATCCAATACTTTGCATCTAATCACTATTAGTCTGAGCACATTACCGAGTGTGATATTTTAATTTAAAAACTAATACTCTATTCGACTATGAGACAGTGACCTTATTCAGTATTATATTTCTACTGCCTGAAACTGTGCTTAGTAAATATTGGGCACTTTGCTTAGTAATTTAGTGAAATGGGTTGCTTTAATTATGTTGGGACCCCCAATAAGATTTTTGAGATCAGAGATACCACTACCACATTGTAATATTCAGAGACTAAATTGAGAAAAGAAGACAGAAACAGCCAGATATTATGAATATTATTCTTGAAATTATGCAGTTACCATGGACCTTGTTATTTTGGCTTGCCACAAAGTGGCTCAAGGTTAGACCAGAATCTTTTACTTCACAAATGGTTACCCTCACCCTACCCCTGTATTAGTCAATTTTTTTAAGTAGTTTTCATTTAAAAGACCATGATAAGCCTTACTGGATAAGGATCAAGTTATTGTGTCCAAACTCAATCTGTCTGTGACTTTTTATATTTAGTGCATTACCCTCAACTACCATTCTGAGTGACTGTTCGTTTTGAAATTCGAAGTAGGTACGAACCTTGAAGTTGTAGGATCTCTTTTGAGAAATATGAGCCATGCATATAAAACACACTCATGGTCAAACAATTAAGTACATCCTGCCTACTAGCGGTCTCCATAATGAGATGGAAAGTTTGTGTTCGGGTTGCCGAGAATCTTCCATTTTGCCTTGTTTCTACAACAATCACATTGTAAACTCGAAATTAGGAGTTCTTCAGGTAGTGGGTCACAGTGGAAGAACATAGGAGGTTCAGTAAAGTTTGTCCAGTGTCAGCCCAAAAGGGATTTTACAATTGCAAAAATCCAGATTAGTTTTAACATTGCAATACCTTTGTAATTTTTTTTTTTTGAATTGGAGTCTCACTCTGTCACCCAGACTGGAGTGCAGTGGCATGCTCTCGGCCACCGCAACCTCGACCTGCTGGGCGCTGGCGACCTTCCGCCCCAGCCTTCCAAGTAGCTGGAAATATAGGTGCGCACTACCACGCTCAGCTAATATTTGATTTATTGTAGAGATGAGGTCTCGCCAAGTTTCCCGGGTGGGTCTTGAACCCGCGGGATCAGGCAATCCATTCGCCTCGGCCTCTCAAAGTGCTAGGATTACAGGCTGAGCCACTGAGCCCGGCCTACTTTTGTCATTTTTGAGTGTTTCCTTGACTCTTAGACTTTAATGAAAATGTGCTTGTTAGCAATCAGTGTTTTTTTTTTTGAGTTGGAGTCCCACTCCGTCGCCCAGACTGGAGGGCAGTGGCACGCTTCCGGCCACCGCGGCCTTGACCCTCTGGGCTCAGGAGATTCTTCGATCTCAGCCTTCCAAGTAGCAGGAACTATAGGAGCGCGCTACCACGCCCAGCTAATTTTTTATTTATTGTGGAGACGAGGTCTCGCCAAGTTGCCTGGGCCCGTCGCGAATCCGTGGGCTCAGGCCATCCACTCTCCTCGGCCTCCCAGAGTGCTGGGATTACAGACTGAGTCACCGAGCCCGGCCATCAATCAGTGTTTTGCGTTTAAATCTCTTCCAACCTCCCAAAATATTAGAATAAGTTGTAAGAGCAAATGCAAAATGGCTATTAAAATTCTGTAACAGTTTTGAACAGTGACTGTTTTAATAATGCTTTTAATGAAATGAAATGTGCTAAGTCACACAGATTTGTGCTTTTTAAAAACATAAGTGTTTGAGAATCATATATTGCAGTTTAATGCCCTGGTTATATTAATATTATTATTTAGGGTTGATTGTTAAGATAATATTTAACAGATAATACTTAACAGTGTGTGACCTTAATGCTAGCTGAAAGGCCCATAATACAAATATTTTAGCTGTTTAGGGGATGAAATATATCTATGTATATTAAAAAATATTTTAATATACACATAAATTAATGCTTTGTACCAATTCTAACTTTAGATATTTTTTGTGCTTCGTATAATATGTTCTAGTCGATCCATTCATCAATTTTAGGAATAGCATGAATAAATTTAGTTTATTTACATATTCATATACTTTAAATAGACCAGTGTAAACAGTTTCTTATCTGCCATATGTTGAAATGTTTTAGTAAAGACATAACTGCCTAGTCAACAAAGATGGCATTGAATTGCACTGTTTTGGAAAAAAAAAGTTAAGAGAACTAGATGCCTGTTAATCTGGTTCTTTAAATATCATAAACAAAAGTATCAGAATGTGTTTCCAAGGACAAAGGCGGGGTTTTCCGGGTTTTGATTGGTTGCTGCTTTGTCCTGTCCCGCAGCCATCCTTAATTGGCTTTGGGTAGATTGGAATCAAATAAGCAGGGTGACATTTATTACTTTCCTAGTTGTTTCTTTTGCACTGAGCCCTGAGATTCCCAAGGAGTAACTGTAAAAGATTTCTTTCATTTTGTCCATGATCAACAAGGGAGGATCATTCTAAGAAGAGCAGGCATGAGTTTGACTGCAAGAAGAGTTACTCTGCCTGTAATAACACCAATAGTTTTACAGAAAAGGGTATGTGACCCCTCTTTCCTTTTTTTCTTTATTCTTTCTTGCTGTTCTTTTTTCTGTTACTGTGTGTTTATTAATATGCTGGAAGTTTTAGTTACAGAATATAACTCATTGAGGTTATAGGTAATTAAAAGACATAGTATTAGAATTGAACTAGGAAAAAAAATCCTGCTCTACATCGCTATAGTAAAAAACCTCCATGTATAAGCAGTTTGGTCTCAGTTTCAGGTCATTGTGATTTAGAAACTGTATTGAAGCTTTTTCTTTTTCTTTTTTCCTTCAACTGTAACTTCAGGCCTCTTCGCTTTTAGTTCAATAGGAAATCTGCTAGCTATTATATTTGTTTACTAAGGCACAGTTTCTTTGTTTTGCTACAATTCGTGATACATCCTTCTCTTCATTGTTGAATGGACTATATAGTTGTTTTACTGTTTAAACATGTGGCACCAGTTTATTATCCTTGAGTTTCTACCCATTTCTATTGAGTTTCTGCCTATTTGCTTAAGAAAAACTTTCCATTAAATTCCCCTTTGAAAGGGCTTTCTGTTAATTATTAATGCAATCAATCCTCTTTATGAAAATATTTTATTTATTAGTTTTTTCATGTCTTACTTGCAGCATTGCATTTTATAATGCAAGTTATACAACCATGCGATGTAGCCATCCTAAACTTCTCTTGTAAATACACCAAATAAGAATATTGCACTGAGTTCCTTAAAGAATCAAATCTGGTACATCTAGAAGGAAGCACTAAAACACATTTTTGGCAATATGCTTTCCGAATGGTTTTAGTGACACTAGAAACTGTAATGTTTATTTCTGTACTCAACTTTTAATAGTTAACTGTTAACTATCAGTGCATTCCATTAAGTCAAAGGTCATGTTTCAACTTATTTGAAACATGACATTCCTAACGGTTAAAGTGTTGTTGTTTTAAGAAGTGTCTCTTTTTAAAAAATTATTTTTTATTCTTATTTTTGATAGTTTTTCTGTTTATTTTCTTATCCAGTTGCCCATTTATTTACTAGAGACATTTTATTTAGCATTGGAATAGCTCTATGCTAATTTTGCCAACATGTATCTTTATCTTTCTTGAGACCTGTCACTCATCTTTCGCAAATTTAATTAAAAATATTTTGCTTTGAGCTTTAATTTTTACTTTGAATTGGACCAAGCAGTGCATTAATAATAACGACATAGGTTATCTGACTCATTGGGAATGTGAAACGACATATTAACATATGTCAGATCTGTGTTCTTATGTTTAATTTCTTCTGTATCCACTTAATATTGCAGTTTAGATTGACCAAGAAATTTTCATCTGATGATTTGTTTCTGATGACATGTTGATATGATGAAAAGCGTACCATCTGGACTCTCCATTTAATAGCTGTGTGACCTTGGGCAAATCACTTAAATTCTCAGTCTTTACTTCCTCATCTGTACAATAATAACTAAGGAGTTTTCAGTAGATGACCTCTTCAGTTTCATTGGTATCTATCATTTTGTGAATCAAATAATATATTTTATATTTTATGATTATAATAAAATATGAATATCATTTCTTATTTTTTTTAGACAGAATATAAAACACTAGGAAAGGAAGCTATCATTTCTAGGACTTTGAGCAGTTAGTCTGGGGAAATTGGTTATGAGTAGAACTTGGCTAGAAAATAATTTCTAGCACCAACTGGAAGTAGCAAAACAAGATTACTCTGGAAAGCTATGATTATTGATGTTAGATCTGAGCCGCCGGTGGACACCTCATTGTCATTTATCTCTTTTTAAAATTATAAACTTCTTGTTAGATTTCTATTATGATAATTATGTAAGTCAAAATTCCCTAGGCCCAAATCCATAATATTCTTTTTCAGAGAGCACACAATTAAAAGTTTATATAATTTAGTACATCATTATTTGCTTAAAGTACTTATGCTATTTCTTTCTCATGACATTTTAACCCTCCAAAGACCCATTTGTCTATTTAAGTGTTCCAAAAAATATTAGTAATTTTTATTTTAAAAATTGGGTATTTTCTGACTTAAAAACATCCGTCTGCTTTGGTCACACCATGACTAATTTTTCTCCTTTCAAGATGCAAAATTATTCCATACTTACAATTAATTTATTTTCTGTATGTGCCAAAATCTAAAATGATATTATAAGTCAGTACAAGTATTTCTCAGAGTATTTTGGGGGCAACGTCTCATTTTTCCTGAAGGCAGGCATTTCTTCTGTAATTTTGGCATAAAGTTTGCTCATCCTGAATGAGTGACTCTTGCAAGATAATTTACCAACTGGAATCTTAATCGTTTGAAAGCCCAAGAACATTTCTGAAAATGCCCAATAGCACTAGAGATTAATTTTCTTATCAGCTAGTGTGTCTGATTTAAATGGCCATAAGATTTTCTTGGGGTCAATTAGAAACTTGAATTTTAAACATGATCTTTAACATGGTATAGGTCTATTTTGTAGCAGAGCAAGTATGCTTTGATCTTTGAAAAACAAGGTATTTTGGTAAATTTTCTTTTATTTTTTGGTAAATTTTCTACCAAGTAAATTGGAAAAAAAATTTTGACTTCCACTAACTTTGTTAATGATCTAATTTCTCTGATTTTAGAAAATCAGGGTTCCGGTGAAGAAGTTTTAATAATATTCCTGTGAAACAAATAATTACATCCTCACCAAACATTGTGAAAGAATCTTTTACCTCATAGCATTTTTCTCAGATAATCACTAGGTTGTGCCTTCGCCCCCCCTGCCAAATAAGAAGACTGAGTCTCTTGGGTGTTGAGTGACTTATGCAAGGTCACTCAGAAGGTCAATGGCAAAGCTAGAAATAGAATTTAGATCTTGTGACTTCCAGTATGTTTCTCTTAGATACGTGTTACCTCCTGAAATTAATATGGTAATTAAATTGTCTTATGGTGTGTATAATTGCCATTCAACTTTAAGTCTGGAATTAGCTTAGGCAAATCCTTTCATCTTCCCCTGCACTTCCACCAACTCCCTTATGCTTTAGCATAGAAAACATTTTATTCAGAAAACAACTGTAAGCAGGTGTGTGTGTGTGTGTGTGTGTGTGTATGTGGATGTATGTGGGTGCGTGTGTGTGTGTATGTGATAGAAAGACAGTTTATTACCTGGAACTCTGTAATGCACATTACATCAAAAAAATATTTTAAGTCCCAGAGAGTTACTAAAAGACTCATGCATTGTAAGGTAGAAACCTAAGTACAATATAAAATTCATAATCTTTTGTAGAGAGGCTACCAGGTCAGAGGGCCAAACGTTCATATCCTAATTCAGTAGGTAGGCTTGTTTCATGTGTCTATCAGATTAACATTGTTTTTAAGTTATGTTTGCAGCATATTTACATTCTTTATTTATACTACAATTATGAGAGAAGTTCATAGGCATACAAGATCCTGAAGTATTTTCTGAAATCTCAGAGAAAAAAGGAATATTTTAAAAATATGTTTTTCTTAAGATTCAAATCCTTATGAAAAGTATAAATTATAAATTTGTGAGTATAACATGGAGCAGTGCCATTTATGAGGAGATTTAATTCCCCATTCATATATAAAAAAAGTTTGTCTTAAAACTCTCTCTTTCTTCACATAATTAGAATCATTGCTATGACTTTTCTAAAAACTATATTGTGGAGGAAATAATATAGATTATTATAGCACAATTTTTTTCTGAAACTTTTAAACATGCACAAAATCAGTTCAGAGTTATATAGCATTTTCTGAACTTCAGGGCCTGGCTACTCCCTCCACTCGCCCCACTTCATAGGAAGCGCCCACTCCAGCACAAGGTTTTCCTCCTTGTGCTTCAAACAGCATTTTGTGTCTGTATCTCTGTCCCTTTGCTCCCAGGGTAGTGCTCTGTGGCTTGTAGGAAAAGCCAGACCACTGTTTACTTTTCCAAATGTTGTTTATTGTCTAAGTCTCAGCCCAGGCTGTGGTCTCCCCTAAGGTCTTTGAAGACTCTTTTTCTTCACGTTATCTTCATGATGCCTTGGCTCAGTAGCAGTGGACATGCCTTTATTGTTCGTTAGTCAATTCAGCAACTACTGGCCTGTAACATCAGTTTTATTGTTACTTTTTATAATATTTAAGTTTGAATGCTATCCACAGGTGTATACAATATGGTTTTTAGTCTTCTCTGTATATCTTATTTTTGTATATCTTGTACCATTGGGTGTTCAGAATTTTTCTTCTTATTTTTGATCTTACAACTAAATTTTAATATTTTAAGAAAACAGATCTTTAAATAAAATGCTTTGTCAGTTATAGGCAGAATTTAATTTCATGTAAACAGAAGGCTCTAAGGACGGTGGATTAAAGAGGGAAGAGATTTATTTTTCTTTCACTTCATGAGAAGGACTAGTTCAAAGATAATGCAGCAGCCCTATAATATCCTCAGGCAGCCAAACTCCTTGCTTTCTATTATGTCTTCTCTAGTGTGGATCCTTTTTTCCTTTTATGGAAAGGTAAATGCAAATCTCCAGTCATTGTGTTCACAGTCTTCACATAGATAATGGAAAGGACCAAGGACAGGCTGACTAGTTTGATCCCACTGTAATATGACATTCTAAAATAACCAGGAGCTTCTGCTTTTATATTATTGGGCCAGGATCGTGTTGTGCAGCCAACTCTGGACACAGGGAAAGTCAGGAAATGCAGGCCTCTAGCTCAACACACTACACTCTTCACCAGAATCAGGATTCATCAAGAAGGAAAAGGGGAGTGGTGGCTGTTGGCAGGCAACTAGTGCCTTGAACATATTACAAGTGCCTCGAACATATTACACATTCAGCAAATATTTGTGTCTTGGATTTGTATCATTGTGATACCAGATACAAAATGTGGTTATGCTTTTTGAACAAATGTATTCTATTACTTGTGTGGAGCTATTAGGTGTAGTAAGTGGGGTGAGAGTAGATTTCCTGAGTAGCATAGGGTAATGGAAGTCCACAGATGGTGGACTTGCTTGGA